GTAGCAGAGGAGCGGGATGGCATCTTCAAAGTAGCTTCAAACAAGCTGGTTTAGGATGTTGCCAAAACCAACCTGGAATGAAAATGACACTCCTCTTAGTGAGCAAGTGATAAAATGATAGTGGGAATTATTTCAGGGATCAAGATTACAAAGTAACACAGAAGAGGATGCTGTCCCCTCTTATGCATAGGGGTTATTTTCAGAATGCCACACACTGGTGATCGGCTCTTCAGATTTTTGAGTGACGCTCATGGAAGGGAATCATAGGGGCTGGGCCAGACTGCTGCATACAACCAAGGCTGAGGGTGGAGACTGGGACAGGGATTCTCACCATTCGGTGTGGCAAAGGACCACCCGAGCGCCTGTTAAGAAGGAAGGTAGTAGCATGCACTGCCGGGATTCCGATGCTGTCCACCAGGGATCTGCACTTTTAAACACGCTCTCGGGCTGATTCTGACGCAGGGGCGGCGGACTGCTCTGGGAGACGCGTGGATGCCTCTCCAGAGAACCCTTCCGGAGCAGGCCCTGTCCTCAACTCTCCCTACGGAACACTCTTGCTCTCATTTTATGGCCTTCATGACTCAGAATTTAGGTAAAAGCGTTTCTCTAGCCCTTAGGTCTAGTTGTTTTTTTGGGTTATGAAAATCGCCTGTTTTTACTCTTTATCTCTGCTCCCTCTCCCACTGTACACACACTGTGTAAATAAGAAGCTAATTTTATTTTGCTGATCAAATTTCTCCTTTCAAGTGAGGGCCAGGAAATGCTTACTGGACAGAAAGTTCTGACCTCTCCCTTTAAGGGCGAAAGCCTCAGGTATTAGGAGAGAAGTGAAGGTGGCCACAGAAGGCTGGGATGGGGAGGTAGACAGAACAGGGGAAAGGTGCTTGGGGAACAAACCGAAAGCAGATTCCCCCTCTAGGTCACAGGCCACTGGAAAACTCAGGGCAAGGGCCACGAGGGTAATTACCCCTGGGTTGGACAGGGGGTGCTGGCACACATGGGTTATAACGGCACAGCTTTGCCACACATACTCACATAAAAATAGAGCCGATATTGTGTTTTTATTGTCTCCCTCAACTCTGCTTATTATTCAACTTTGCTGCATTCCTCTAAAATTCCATTCATTTTAAAAACAGTAGACTGATAATGTAAAGTCCCTAAATCTCTAGGTGAAGTGAGAGCTTTTATCCTTCTCTTTTCTGGTTTTTGCAGAATACCATTTTCACAATATTCTTGCAAGAGGAAAGACTACCAGAAAAAAGAAAAATGAAGGGTAGTAAAGTCAAAAGAGTATCACAGCAAAGCCTTTGGTAAGAAAATATTTATGTCCACAGGCACACACCACACCCTTTCTGGGAAGATATTACTGGTCTAGAAGCTGGGTGAGCGTATCCCAAAATATACTTCACAAAAAGAACAGTAACCCTCCCAAAATAGGCCCTATAATTAAGTAAAGTCTTTTCAAGTGGATTGTCCTATATCACAACATGACATATGTTGCTTTAATCTCCCTGCTTCAGTAAATGTAGCCATATTGGGCTACACAAGCTCTCAACGACTCACATTTAAACCAGATTGTGGTGTCACCATCAAACTGATGCAAATAAACAGCCCTGTGTACCAAAATACTCCATCTTAATCATCTATAATGAGATCTTTCTCCTCTGTAAGCACATTTTCATCACACCACATTCAAAAGGAAGGACCAGCCCAGACTGAAATACCATTTCATCTCAGAGGTCATCTAAAGACTAACACATCTGAAGAAGCTGGGGCTGAAATTTAAAATACAAGACAACATCTTTTGTGTGAATGCTGGGATCATGGTGAGTCTCATTTTCATCTTTAGTTGACCATCATGCAGTATAAGCCGTCAGAGACCCATCTGTCTGAATTCATTTAGGTCATTTGTTGCTTAGAGTCAGGGGTTATAGAAGAGACAGCCTCTTCGTAGCCCTTCCAGTCCTATGATTCTTTGAACTAATTTCTTTATGTTTTCTAATTATATATTTACATATAATTAAATGTTAAGATAGTTAAATTTTTACATCTTCAAAATAATGAGTGCTTTAGACATTTATACTTTTTTTGTTATTTCTAATATCCGAGTTTCTCGGCCTTGGGACTGCAGACATTTTGGGCTGGATCTTTCTGCGAGTGTGCTGTGTGCACGTGCTGTTCTGTGCACTGTGGGACACTGAGCAGCATGCCTGGCCTCTACCCACTAGATGCGACTAGCACACACACCCTCCCTCCTCCAGCTGTAACCATGTCTGAATGGCTTCAGACATTAAAAATTGTCCACTGGGAGGGCAAAATTGACCCCACTTGAGAACCACTGACCTCTACCTCTCTTTATATATCTCCCCCTGGTATGGCCAGGAAAAAAAAATCTAGGTTTTTCAAGGCACCCACAAGTTTTAGTTTTAAGTATTTCAATCTTCCAATGTCATAATGAAGAATCAGGATTTGTGACACACTGCTAACACTACTACTCCTGAAGGTTTATGAACAGCACTGCGGCTGTCTCACACCAAGGGTTCCAGGACCTGGCTTCGTTTTGGTCAAGAGGATGGATGTGCTGTCTCCTGGGCTCTTGGACTGCTACCCTCCCTTCTTTAGGAGCTCCTTTCTTAGAAGACTGCTCTAAAAAAATCCAACACTACCCATTACCAGGCACTTTGTACTGATGATGAAAGAGGAGGATTAGCATCACCCACAGAAGCAACACAGCTACCGTGCTCCTCCTGGGCCAGACCGCCGCCAGGGTGGTGCTTTTCGTGCTGGGCTGCGTGCACAAGAGGAGCATGGGAAAGTGGGGAAGGATGACAAAATACGTCAGAGGGCAGAGTCCAAGAATGGGAGGTGGGAAGTTCAGGCCAGAGAAGAAAAGGTGAATGAGGAAGGAGAGTGTCTCAGACATCCAGAGGGCTGGCATGAGAGAAAGTGAGCTGACTTACTGAGAAAGGGATTAAAAGCAGTCGGTGATTCGATAAACATTTATCAGGTACCTTCCACGTGCCAGGTGCTATCCTGTCCTGTGGGAAGTATATTAACGACTAGATTCGTTTCCTTTCCTCTAGCCCTATCTCCTTCCATTCCTCTTTCTTTTTAACAAGTTGAGCTAATTTCCAGTTGTTTAATTGCTTACTTTTTCTGCTTTAAAAATTAAGCTTAAATTAACATACAGCAAAATTCACCCTTTATAGTGTACAGTTGGGTTAAGTGTTCACAAAAGCATGCATTTGCATAAATACCACCACAACTAAGATCTAGATGAATTTTGTCACCCTCCCTAAAAAAATTTCCCTGTGGTCCCTAATTGTTTTTTTATTTGAAGCGAGGTGCCTTGTGCAATCTGAATTCCCCTGTTAGGGATTCTGTAGAAGGCATTTTTTTTTTTGGCGAGCAAAAGTTTGGGCCAGACAACCTTTGAGGCCATGAAACTGGAGCATAGTCACCTACAGACATCTGGACCTTAAGCATCAGCCTGCCTGTAGTGATGTAGCTGATTTGCCCCAACCGCAGGTAAAGGCCCCAAATTCTTTTCAGCAAAGCTCAAAAAGTTCAGTCCAATAATTAGATCTCTGTGAAGGCTACAGAATAAACATAGACAAAAAAATAAAATCAAAAGAAAGATATGGAAATCAAAGCCTAAACATGATAATTGAGGTTCAAACCAAGATGGTATCATTTACCCTAACCTTTTGTTTTCTTCTTGTTAATGTAGTATGAAATAACATTAACTCTGAAAAAACTAACACAGCTCAAACACGGAGCTCTCACTTGGTTGTAAAGGTGGCAGAAAGGGAAGTTAAATTAGCCAAGCTGGTCTAAGGATGGTCACCAGGGTTGCAGAGGAAAAGAAATGTCTGGACTTCCCACAGCTCCTTATGAGGCTAGTGTTGGAGGAAGGAAGGTGGTGAACAGTTGGGAGGCCCCGTGAAGTCATGCAGGTATGACCGACCCAACCCTACTAGCCCTCCTGCTGGAAGATACACACCTCTTGGTGGCTTGACCTCACTGGCAGATGTCCAGTCCCCAAACAAGGCTGCAGTATTATCAAGAACGACTGATTCACTGAGCAACTATTATGCTCTAGCACCTCACTCATTTTTTCTACTAACAACCCTATGAGGGAGGTAACATTCTAGGCCTCATTTTACAGAAGAGGAAAATGAGTTTCCTCTTTTTTCCCCCATAGGAAGATGAAACCAATTTATAAATTATCTCAGCACTCACTAACAATAGTAAAAAAACACCGGGTAATGAAACAAACCAGAAACTATGCTTACAAAATATTTGAATCTTCAGCCCTCTAAAATAATTGAAGAGAAGAGAACAATGGGAAAATATCTAAAACTGAACTCATAACATCATCCCCCCAAACCAATTCCTTTTTCCTTTTATTTCATAAACACCTTCCCTTCTCCCCTGCTCAGAGGCTACCTAACAACCGGTAGATGCTGAACTTAAATTTTAACTCAGGTCTCCTGGCCCCTAAAACCCCAAGACTGGCCCCTTTACTGCTGCCAGATAGCAAGGTCTGAGTGGTTGCTGAATAGAATGTTCTTGGTTTCCCAGGCCCCTGTTATGGCAGTCTGTGGGTTGGCTCCCAGCATGATGGATTCTTAACTTCCTTTAATTTCTCCTTCTCTAAGCTGCCTGTTTCTCTCTCATTTCAATGAAACAGACCATAAAGATCTCTCCGCTTTGGAGACTTTAAGGCATTCTCCACCCTGCATCCAGAAGCTTTCTTTCCTACACCTAGATTTACCAAATTTTAGAAAACCCTATGTTGCTTAATAACATCAGCAATAACAAGAAAAAATGTCATACTGTCAGAAAACACCAATTCAATGCCACATTTAATTATAAAATTCCGTTCTAAGTTTAGTGCAAATTTAAAAGATGCATAGAACAAGGCAACAGAGCTGCCCTTCACGAGCACCCTCTGACAACAAAAGGTATTAGAAACAAATGCAGCCAACAACACTTACCAAAATTTCCGCCAACTATCACAAACTTTATATACACCACATGTCTTCTAAAACAGCAGCAGGACTGGTCCTGAAAACAGTACCACAACAAAAGAAAACACATCATTAAACAGAAGTAATTTAATACACATTGTGCTCCTCTTCTGGAAACAGAAACCTCTTCCTCTGTTTTGGGCAGTCATCAATGTACCAAACTCCACCTCCAGTTTCCTCTTTGTTTTTCACAGGAAGATGAAACCGATTTACAAATTATCTCAGCACTCACTAATAAGAAATAAGTTAAAAAATGGACAATAAAATTAAACCACAAACTGCTTCCAAATATGTGAATTTTAAGCCCTTTAAAATAACTGAAGACAAGCGAACAATGGAAAAATATTTAAAATTGAACTCATAACATTTTCCCCCAAAACCAATTCCTCTCTGGTTTTTTATTTTTTATTTTCCCCAATAACATCTTCCCGTCTTCTCTGCTAGCTATGAGACCCAGGGCCATTTTCCTAACTGTTCTTTTCTAGATTTCATTGTATTATCTGTGAAATAGGGATCATGGTACTGACCTCACAGGGTGCTATGAGGATTAAATGATATCATACAAATGACACAGACGGCTTAAAGCAGTGTCTGGCACACAGTAAGCACTCAGTAAACCTGTGCCATTAGCATCACTCTCCCAGTCCCCCAGGCTTGAAACCCAACATGGCCTCCCTCACCGCCGCTGCAAACCATGGCCCAAACCTGCCGTGCGAGTCCCACATCGTGCCGCAACGCACAGCTTCTGTTCTCGTCATGACTCTCCATCTGGTCGCATCCCTCCTGGCAGACAGCGGTCTCCCATTTATTCCCTCCCCCTCCAACTCTCATGGCTCTACAAGGCGTCCTTCCTAAACACACTTACAGCCTGCCCTTCCTCAAAAGAACCACCTTCCGCCACCTCCCATCGCCTGCACATTTATCTGTGAAATCATGTTAGCCTGGGATTCAAGTTCACTTCGGCTTTATTTCCACATCGTCCTGTCAGATGCTACTGTAGTGTCCAGTCCCCTGCCCTGCCTCTGAGCGCCTTCTGCCCACACCTGCTGGGAGGAGGCCACACCATTTCCTAAGGCAGGGCTCCTACCTTTCTATGCTATGGCGGTCCAGACACAGCGTTCTCAGAACAATGTTTTCCAATGCTAGCAAAACCCTAATAACTACTGCAATTTTAAAGTACTGTCAGGCACAAATAGTATTTCAGGATATCTATAACTGTAATATAACATAAAAATATTCATAATTTCGATTGGGGACAAATAGCTCATGATATTTTCATCATAGAAGGTGATGTTTTATTTCAGTTAAGGGTTAATGAAAATGACAAGATAATTTTTTTTTCCCATCCAAGTTCGCAGACCCCTTGAATTCCACCCATGGTCCTCAGGTCAAGAGCCCAAGCGTTCTTCACTCTCATTGCCTTTTCTACCCTGATGTTCTCAATTTGGTATTATCTTACCCCTCTGTACTTCCCTCTTTTTAAAAATTATATTTTATTTTATATGTATGCTTTAAGCAAATGTACTTACTATACCCTAACCTTTACGTTGTAAGCCTTTGAAGGGAAGGGGAGACCCTATTTTTTCCCCCATTTTTTTATTCTACAGCTATGGATAATAATGTCCTCCCTGATAGCAGGCACAGCAGGGAGGCATTCACCAGGATAGTTAGAATTAATCAGTGAGTAATAGTGCAATCTTGCTTGCCCTACAGGAGCTCAGCGAATAAATAATATTATCTCATCTCTCTTTGGCAGCTTATGAGGTCCTAAACATGTAGGTGGGACAGCTAAACATTCTATTTTTAGATTATAAATTACAAAAGTCAGGCAACAAAATGTTCTCTACTTCTCTTTAGAGAATGGAAGCTTAGTCCATGCTGTTGGCTGACAGATCTCCCAGGAACAGACCAGCTGTTCATTCTGTCAACACGTGGGTGCCCGAGTGACGCAAGCACAATTCCTGCCTTCCTGGGGCTTCAAGTTTAGCAGCTTTCCCTAGCTGGCCCAGAGCCCTTACAAAGACAAAGAACAGCCTGCAATTTCCTAAGTGCAGGCACCTTGGTGACCCATGTTGGCAAGGCCAGCGGAGTTGCTCTTTCTTCCACCAGGGCCCAGAGAAGCTCCAGCTTCCCATCACAGACGTGTGAGGCGGAGGTTTTGTGGTGGGTGGGAATTCCATCTCCCCTCCAAGTACCTCCTGAGATAGGTTGTCCCTGCATATGAGGTGGGGGGTGGCAACTACCAAAGTGACCATCTCAGGGAGGGCTACTCAACACCTGGCCACATAGTTCACTCTGAGCCCACCAAGTCTGTAACACATCAGCCTCAGGACAGACACTGTCCTTTGGTCTTAGCTGCAGCTAAGGATGCCTGTGTGCCTTCTGTCAAGAACAACACAACTTACAAACAAAAATAACAGAACAGTTCTTCCTTTTCAAATGAAGAGCGTGTTATGATTTTCTCCACTGAAAACCACTTACAAGGGCATTGTGACCATTTGCTTTGGCAGAAATTCACCACTGGCAGCATTTTTCACAGTCAATATCATGTCAAGTGACTCTTAAGACAAATGGGGGTGTACTCTCCCTCCCCAATAGCCAAGGCGGATGAGACAGCCACTCAGAGAACAGAGGCTGGACTTGGCGTACTCTTTTCATGCTTTAAGGACATTTAAATCCATTTCATTTGAATTTGTTCTTTTTGAGACACACCAGATATAGGGCATCAATTACTAAGAAAAACAGCTGAATGATGAGGGTGGCATGACTGCTCTACCTTCTGTTTCAAGAATTACAATATCTACATCATAAATGAGTTAATATTTCTATGGGCGCTCCCACACAACATGTAGCACTGCACGTCCTTCTTGCTTCTAATATATGCCACAGACTATTTTGTGGGTCCTGGTTTAAAAGTAAAATTCTCATTATACACTCACTGGAAACAAGTATCTCTAATGCAGTTCTCATCTCTCTTTCTTCTATCCACCAGAGACCCCATATTTTCTCACCCACAGTGCCCTATGGGCAGGTGACCGCACCCCCAGCTAGGGGTTGGGGAACTGAACAGTCTAAGGTTTTGCAAGGTGTCAACTGGCAACATTTGCATCAGTGGGAGCTTCTTAGAAATTGCCGGCTCTGAGGCCCCACGCAAACTGATCAAATTGGAAAGTATTTTATGTGATTCTGCAGGTAATCTGTGTGCACATTATGGCTTTAGAAGCACTGATCCAAGAGAAAACCGTTCCCATTGCCAATGATTGGTTTAAGAATAGGCATATGGCCCAATTGAAGCCAATGAGATGTGAAGAATGTTTTTCTGGGAGTTTCTGCTGACTCTGGAAGTCCATGGCACTTCTGGATTTCTAATAAATATCGGATTGTTTAGGAGTCCTCGAGTTGGGTTTTCAATCACCTGCAGCTGGAAAACACCCTGACTAATCAGTCCCCATTAAAGCATTAGAAAGGGAACAGCATGCCAAGGCTCTGGGCTCAGCCACAGGCTAGAAAAGACAGCGTATCCAGAGACCACAGCGATAGTTCCAAGATTCCTTCGGATCCAGGAATGGACTCAGTAGTATTTCCGATCCTGACAACCATGGTTCATTCGCACATTTATAAAAGCTTTCTAAATTAGTCAGTCTAAATGATCAACTGAAGGAAATGCTGAACATTTTCCAAATGACTGTAACCAGAGTGGTCAACAGTGGCCCTCCCCAGAAGCCATAAGGATGTCATTTCCTGCAAAGACAATGGGAGACTAATTGCTCAGCCTCAGACTCCTAAGAGGGAAGACAACCTGTGACATGTAATTACTGAAGGGTAAAAAAGGAAAAGCTTGAGGCTCTCAGAATCTGTTTCTGGATCTGCTCCAGTTACTTGGGGAAAAGGAAGGGGAAAAAAAAAGACCCAGCCGGTCTAGGGAAGGATTTGAGGGGCTGGCCGCTGAGGACACCACCCTGACCGGTTTTTCATATCACTGGCACATATTAAAAACCTTTTTGAGGAAAATGAATAGACCAGCTATTATACAAAATCATATATGGCTTTGGTGTAGCTCTGCTTCACATACAGGAGTGACACAGTCAAGGAGAACTGCATGTCTAAATGGACATTATCTCTTTGGTGTGTCCTAACTTCTTAGCCACAAGAGGATATTTTGGGGGTTGGCTTGACGAAGAGAGCATTTTCTATCAAAGAGCAGTTCCCCACAGGATGTTCCTAGGTTCTATCTCCTCATAGCTCTTTTTCTCTCAAACCCTTTTGGCTCTCTCTTTCCTGCTACCTCATACCTTTTCATGGTGCCAACTATCATCCCATGTGATGTTTTTAGATCTATCACCCAAGTTCCCAGTTCCTCTGCTGCCCCCTACACGGAAAGTGCTTCAAGGGTGGGGACTATGTTTTGGCCACTGTTATTTTCCCAACACTTAGCACAGTGGCTGGCACCGAGTGTGAAGTATTTGTTGATTGAGGAAATGAAAGCTCTGGCCATCATCTACTGACTGGCCTCTGACTCTGGCCTCTCCTTTTCAACCCTATTGACACATACAAGGTCTCTGGATTATAGTGCTGCTCAGGTTGCTCCTAGAATATCTCACCTGGGAAGCCCTGTGCTTTCCAAGTGAGAAACTGGGTCCATCGAGGCCAAGAGACTAGCCCAAGATCTTACAATTAGAGGGTGGCATAGACAGGATTATAACTCAAGACCCAGTGCTGTGGCTACCAGGCCACTGACCAGTTCAAAAACCTTTAATAGTCTTTCAGGAGAACCTAGTTGAGGGCCTGAAATGTAGTAGGTACTAAATAAATATTTGTTGAGTGACCGATCAAATAAATTAACAGGGCTCATGCATATACCAATGTGTTTTAGTGTTTCTTACAGTGGAACCCTCCTCAAAAGAAAGACAATGCCCCTACATACAAAATGGAGAGGAGTCACTCTCTCCTCCAGAGTCGGGGGAGCAGCTGGAACACCAGACCTCTTCCCCTGCAGGGCCTCTGAGCCACCTCCCAGGAAGCTCAGGGCTTGGTGAC